TCTCATTAAACCTTGTCTGTTCATCTCCAAAAATCCGCTAATTGCACCACGCGTTTTTCAAATTTGCCTTTGCCTCTCGGAGTTGAAGAAATTCGTAAATGGTGCTCTACTGAACGAAAAATTATTGGGACCTTTTAAAGGGATGAGTAGTTAGGAAAAAAACTGACGAATGTTTCGGTCCATTAAGTTGTATATTTATCTTCTTGGAGCCATAATTAGATCTGGCTCACTATTTTACCTCGCGAACTTCGGGCATTTCCTTGTTACGCAAAGAGTAGATTGCGCAAATGAGAATGATTTCAGGTTTTACTGGGGAAACAATGGCATCAACGCGCCGGTCCTTAAAGTGTCTGGTAAATCTCTGGAAATTGTCTTCTGTGCGTTGCTCGTCTGGTACCACATTTGTGCCTACCGTAGCAGATCCATCGCTTGGTTTGTTTGAACTTTTTTGCTTTTTCTACTTAATTGTAAGCAATTTAGTCAAAAAAGCACTGCAGAGTTATTAGAGGTAAAACTTCTCGAAAAAGTGACCCCAAACCAAAAAGTATATTGAAATATGAAAATTCAGTTTTGTAGAAGTTTTATTTTCTTGAGTCAAACATGAATGAGGATTTGACTTTTAGACGAAAGGATGTATAATATGAGAAGTATGAAAGAACATACACACAGTTTTCGAAATTTTCTCCTCAAAATTTAGGATCCTAAGCAGTAGTTTACACAAGTCAAACATGTGCACGTGTGTTAAATGATTTTATCGGAGGAACTGTTAAGCTGGTAATTTCTTCAAGAAACAAAAAAAATTTTGTAGTCGTGACCTTGGTTAATCGTCGGTGCTACTGCATGCTGCATATTTTGAGGTGAAACGAAAACGATGAATCTGTGTCAGGCGATCAACAGTGCAATGGATGTTGCAATGGACCACGACCCGACAGCGTGTGTTTTTGGCGAAGACGTTGCATTTGGTGGTGTTTTCCGATGTACTGTTGGCTTGCAGGAAAAGTATGGTTCGTTTTCAAGATTCGTTCACTTGACTTTCAGCAACTGAAGTCAGCAAAAAATTATGTGAAAATACAAAAATATCTCTCTGCTTGCTATTCTTGCATAGATTCTGACAATTTTTTAGGCAAAGATCGAGTTTTTAATACACCTCTTACCGAACAGGGAATCGCAGGATTCGGGATTGGTCTCGCAGTTTCTGGATCAATCGCTATTGCTGAAATACAATTTGGTGACTATATATTCCCTGCATTTGATCAGGCAATAACTCTTGTGCTTTTTCTTTGATTTCTAATGGCACTTTTACGCTCTTAAATAGGTAACGGATTGGCCGAAGACTCCTATAGCCAAGTGAATTTGCTGACCAGAGATCCCTTTAGTCCAGAGTAAATCGGACTAGCCAAGCACTTTTATAGTCCCAGTGGGTTCTGACAACAAATTGATATTTCTCGTCTATTTTTAATTTTTCAATTTTCAAAATTCATTTTACCCCGGTGTTTATTTTTCAGTTTTCCAAATTCATTTTGCCTCAGTGAGCACTCGTATGCTCCGAACGGTTGTTCCTTTTTATTGCTGCGCCCTTTTCCGCCATCACCACGTCTCCGCTCCAACCAGTTTTGATCTTGCCGCATCCATTAAGCTCCATCAAGACATTCGTATGGGCCGTTCTGTCTCAATCAGCGTTTTCCGAGTGTCTTCTTTGTATTTTAGATGTCCCATTCAACTTATTGTGTCCAACTGTAATTGGTCAATGTCCAGCCCAGCCCTTCTTTCTGGCATGCTGTACCTTTGTAACTCATTCTTTCTTATTGTTATCCTACTTGTATGTTATCATTAAGTCGTTCTATTCAGGAGATTGTTTTGCCTTCCCAGTGAATTTTTTTCTTTAGATTGTAAACGAAGCAGCGAAATATCGATACAGAAGTGGAAGTCTGTTCGACTG